ATATATATATATATATATATACACACACATATATATATATATTTACTTTTATGTGAAACAAATTAGAATGTGATTGTTTTCAAGGAAATACACTCTGTTGCATGGTATTTCCATGTTATGAGAGAGCTCTGGTGATGCAGTGCCTAAGGCATTTGACTGTTAACCAGAAGGCTGGAGGTTCAAACCCATCAGCTACTCCTGGGAAGAAAGATTGAGCAATCTACTTCCACCTGCCTTGGAAGCCCAAGGAGGGATCACCATGAGTTGGGTTCAACTAGACGGCAGTGAGTTTGGGGTTTTTTTTCCTAATATAGTGTACTATGGAGGAATTACTTTATATGTATGAAATCTGATTACATTCATAAAGATTAAACATTGGAAGGGATATCAGAGGCAGTGCAATTCAGCTTCCCATCCAAAGATGTGAGACTTACGAATATTGCGATGATGATTATTACTTGGAGCATCCAGCTTGAAAGGTGTCTTGCTATTCTAATAGTTCTGTTATTAAGAATGCTTTGAGAACTTCTGAAATTGTTTTAAATTCAGTTTGAGTCTCACAAGAAGATTAACAAAGTTTCTTAATAGTCACAAATTAATTTGGACCAAAAACACCCACCTCACTCACTATACCTTTGATGCAGATGAATTTTGGCAGTTTTCAAAAGTGAAATCCAAACTCCTGTAAATTGTAGCCCTTAGCACACCCTTGAAGCCTAGAACTGAACTCACTCCCATGGCTCAGCTTTCAGCCACACAATAGACAAACCACTTGTACAGTGAACAGTAACACCGGTGGGGTCAGCACCCCTTAGAACAACAAACCATATGCATATAAGATCAAAAGGACAACATTTCCCCAGGGATAAAGCTCAGCAGGCAGGAAGGGGTAGAAAGAAGGATGAATGAAAACAGTAAACTGAGGGAGGAAGTGGGAAGAATGCTGTTACTTTTTAGTGACTACAAATGAGTGTCACAAAGCGAAAAATGTGTATGAATTGTTAAATGGAAAACCACTTTTTTTTTCTGTAAATTTCCACCCAGTTCACAATAAAAACTTAAAAAGAATAGTGTAGTGAAGTCCTTTTTCAACAGACAAAAATGAACCTCAGAGGAGGTTATATATTTTAAGTATGCCTGTGTTCTCCTGAAGTAATCCTCTTTATAGTGGTATTGCCATTGTAATGGAATCACAGCCTTCTAAAAGACTGCTTTTAATATAGCCCTAATTTGACATTATTCTTAAAAATTAAAATTTTAAAATTTTAATTAAATTGAATTTATAACTACATTTTAAGTATAATAAGGGATCTGAGAAACCACGTTTGTGTGAGTCTTGAATATTGGGAGGCCGATCTTCTGAAGCAAGAATGAGAATTTCACTGTCAAGAAAAATGAGTTCTTAGTCTATATTTCTGTTAGGAATTAATGTGAATGTCCAATCCTGAAAAGATTTTGTCACTCTAGTGGGTCTGAATACTATATTTGTTGGATTAATTGAGGCTGTTTTCTTAAACTGTCATTTTCTTTTTTGTTTACTGGTGATTTCCCACGCCCCAAGATTTTAAGTGACAGCAAATGATTGTGTGTTGAGCTATAGACTATTTAGAATGCTAAGACTGTCAAGTTTTCAGAAAAACATTAACAGTTGAAGGAATGGCCACTTTCTGTAAAAGAAGGTAGTTTGATAGCCATAGTTTTTTGTAGCTACTTTTAACTAAAGTCTTTTATTATATCGCTACCTATACTTTAAACAAACAAGTGAAAAAAACCTAGAACTAAAATACTCTTGCCACTATGTTTCAGAAACATTTACTTATTTTTACTATTTTGCATGAAATTGTTTTCAGTTGGAGGACATTTTTCCTTCTGAAAAGTGAGTTGAGAATTTCTTTCCTATAGAAGTGTTACTGGTAGTAACCATTATATTGTATTATCCAGGAAAACAACTAAGTAGATATTTCATTTTCTTATCAGATCTCTAATTTGATCTTCTAGCACCTTTATTGGGAGCTCTGGTAGCATAGTGGCTAAGACACTTGCCTGCTAACCAGACCGCTGGCGGTTCAAACCCACTAGCCACTCCTCAGAAGGAAGGTTGGGCAATCCTAAACAAAAGAAGTCAGGGAAAACATTTTTCTTTTAACAACCACAAGTAATAATGACAGATAACCATGCTGACATGTTAAGAAAGAATAGTATTTTAAATAGTATAAATATGCAAACATGGATTTTATTGTGGAATTCATTTACTTAGTATGAGCACTTTTTCACAATTTAAAATTTTATACTTGCTTGACAAAAATTGAAGACATAAAGGAAAACTTAAGACATTGTGTGTTTAAAAGGTGGTCATTTGGGCCACATAGCCAAAAAAAAAAAAAAGCCATTTATGAATTGTTGAAGTCTTTTATGTAAAAAGATGTCTTTGTTTTATTTAGGAGTAAGTAATTTTGAGTAAAGCTCATTGTTTTATGTGGGAGAAAATAATTGAAGGTTAATATTACTCTATTGTAACAAGATGTCATGATATAATGCAATAGCTTAAACTTTTTGGTTATGGAACCTTTTCAAAATGTTACACACACTTAAGCCCAGCATGTAAAACAGGTAAAAGGGCTACTTCTGATTGAGATAGGGATAGTGGGCCTGATTTCCTTTTGCTTGGCACCCCAGTCCTCTCCTGGTGTAGTAAAAAGACCCATGGGCTTTTGAGTAAGATAGCCCTGTACTTAATACCAGTTGCACAACATGACTTAATTGATCAGAGCCATGATTTTCCTCATCTGTAAAATGGGGATAGTAACTACCTCATAGGGTTGTTGCAAGGCACTAGCCCTGGGAGAAATAGGGACTCATGTATTTGTTCCCTGTATAAATTCTAAAACTCTTTGTATTTACTCCATAAATTCTTAACCTCATTGGTATCTTTTAAAAATGGGGATGTTTCAAATGGTGCAGTTCCCCAAAAATACTTTTTTTTTTTTTTGGTATGTTTGTTTTTAACAGACTTTCGGGATGATGTGTATTGGTCTTGCACCTTGATGGATATAATACCCAAACCCACTGCCATTGAGTTTGCTTCAACTTACAGCAACCCTGTAGGATAGGGTAGAATTGCCCATAAGGTTTCTAGGGCTGTAAATCTTTACAGAAACAGACTGTCTCATCTTTCTCCCACGGAACGTGTGGTGGGCTTGAACTGCTGGTGTTTTGGTTAATAGCCACATGCCTTAACCACTGTGCCACCAGAGCTCCCTGGTGGATATAATAGGGTCTTTTCCTATGATGGAATTTGCTCAGTCATTTTTAACAAGGTTAATTTCAGAGTAATACAGGTAAAACTAAAACAAAAAAACCTCTAAAACCACCTCTGTACTCCTTTTTTCCTGAATGTTTTCTGCCCCATTCCTACATTATTACATTCATATTTCTGCTGTCCACATATTCCCAATGGAGTGCTAACCTTTAAGCTAGCAACTACTTCAGTCAGGCTTTGAAGTGTTTTCGTTTGTATTAATTAAGTGGTTAGGTATATTTTCTGTTTGTTTTAAGGACCTTTGTAACATGAAGCAGCTCATGGTCCCAGTAGTTGAGAGAAAGAGTTTGAAGTACTGTGTGCAGATGTGCCAGTGCCAATGCCAATTATTGGGTGGGATGGGAGCTCAGGCCTAGTCACGGTGCTGCCATTTGGGCCAGTGTAGAGTTTCCTGTGTACCTTTCCAGCTTGTACATTCATTCATCCATGCTATTCTGAGA